ATTTATTTATTTACAATCTATTCCGTTATAAACTTTTCTATCTTTTTTAATATTTCTCACGAAGGATGTATCAAATATTTCGAGACAGAATAGTCATCTATCTTAATAAATGAATTCCGACTCGGTAGTTTCATTTTCCGATGATGTAGGCCGATTTGATCCCATCAATCAAATCACCTTCTTCGCTCCGCAGCCTTCTTCCTGTAAAATCTATTCAAAGGAGTCCGAAGGTAGAAGAAAAAAAATGATGGATTGATCGATTAACTTGAACAAATCCATAACCCGCTTTCATTTGTGTGGGAAGAATCTTCTTTGTTACTTTCATTTATACACTTAACAAGAAGAGAAAAAAACTACGATACAATCTCGTTTCTCTAATTAATAACAATAATCGACTATGAGTTGTTACTTTCGATAAAAGAAAATGGTCAGATGATTCTGAATAGTTTACAATAACTCTTAAGGAAAATCAAATTAGGTTTTGAAACAAATTCGAACCATAGAATTAGATGATAATATATCTTGATAAATAAAGTGCAATTATCTCTCGTAATAGTTCTCGTATTGGTAAAAAATAAGAGAAAAGGTTTGTTGGAATTATTTTATACCAAAACCAAAAAAAAAGAAAAAGAAAAAGGTAACATGCAATGTAATAGAGGTTGGAATTAGACAGTGTGTCGTTGTCTATTAGTGGACTCATCTCTGTCAGCAAACCAAAATTTTGCATAATTATTGAGGAAGACGATTCAACAATTAAAATACATAGATTACTGCCACTGCCTCCCACCCCATGTTATACCCTCCAACGCACTCACTTTTACTCCACAAAAAGCTCTTCAAATCCATAGATTTCATCGAAATCCCTTCACCCCCATTTTCAAGTAACTCAAGTTTATTCGTCTCCTTTCACTAGCTTGAGTTGGGTGCGTAGTTGATTCAAGAAAATAATCAGATCTAGCTTCTGTAAGCCAGTGGGGTTTTGGGGGAGCTTGTGTTGGGAATCATAAAGTGTATATTGGTAATTTGTTGGGAAGGGTGAAAAGACCAGCATGTACGGAAGGGATCCGTGGGGAGGGCCGCTTGAGATCAATGCGGCGGACTCCGCCACCGATGACGACCGGAGTAGGAATTTACAGGACTATGACAGGGCGGCGCTGTCACGGCCTTTGGATGAGACGCAGCAAAGCTGGCTGCTGGGGCCTGGGGAGCAGAAGAAGAAGAAATATGTAGATCTGGGGTGTGTTATTGTGAGCAGGAAGATCTTTGTTTGGACTGTGGGTACAATCCTGGCTGCGGGACTCTTGGCTGGATTTATTACTTTGATCGTCAAGACTGTGCCCCGACACCGACACCACCCGCCACCCCCGGATAATTACACCGTGGCACTTCACAAGGCGCTCATGTTCTTCAATGCCCAGCGCTGTAAGTGAACAGTATATTAGTGCTTTTTACTCTGGATTCATCACTATTCTTGTATTTGCATGATAACAATTTGCTCAGCTTGGTATTAGTCTTTCAGATCTGATGAATTTTGGTATGAGGTTGACAGGTGCATATTAAAATGAAGGATTTTATATTCTATCTATCAATAATTATCAGTAATTATGGCTCTGTCATATGGTGGGATTTTTAAATTCTCTTTACTTATACTGGTATGATTTTGAGCATATATTTACCATATGGATTTGATAAAAGACGATAGGGACCATAAAGAGAACAGTATATTTCACATGCCCGCAAGCTCATTCTGTGTTTAAAGTTTTTGTTCCTTCGGTTGAGAAATTGCGAAATTGCGAGCGATCACTTCATTTTCTGAAGATTATTATGTTTTTGTTATTAACTGTGGGATACATTAGATGATCCACGGATCTTTGAATAGATACTGAATTTGACTTAAGGTCCACAGGCGGCCTCTGTTCGAATTGCACTTTTAGATTTGTCTTGCTAAATAGTTTAAGAATTCTTACACTGATGCCAGGTTTATATTTCAACTCATTGGCTGTGGTGGATTACACGATTATAATTTTTTGCATTTGGTCTAATGAATTGTGCATTTTATCTGATGTCTAAAATGCATTTTTACAGCTGGAAAGCTTCCGAAGCACAATAATGTCTCGTGGAGGGGAAACTCTGGCTTAAATGACGGGAAGGCTGATAGTGCAAGTATATTCAAGAATTTAGTTGGTGGCTATTACGATGCTGGAGATGCGATCAAGTTCAATTTCCCTCAATCTTTTGCCATGACTATGTTGAGTTGGAGCGTGATTGAATACAGTGCAAAGTATGAAGCTGCTGGGGAGCTTACCCACGTTAAAGATATTATCAAGTGGGGGACGGATTACTTCCTCAAGACCTTCAACTCCACAGCGGATACCATAGATCAGCTAGTAATGCAGGTAAATACCCTGAAATTGTTGGTAATAATCTATGAAATTACAGAATGATGTCATATTACACGTTCCCGTTAATGGAAGCATGCTAGATTTTACACTGCTGATCTTGTGGTTTTCCTCTAGCTCATTAATGTACTTTTGTCTCTCGGTATAAATTAAAAGGGAGAAACCTTGTTCAACTAACTTAATATCTGACCACTTGTCTTCCATAGACACGTGATACTTTTACTCTCATAAGTTCTTGCTTTTGGCCTTGCGTTCAATTCCATTTTTTTTCCTTTTGTACATGCTTGTTAAAAGATATTTCTATGATTTTACTTGGTAGGTTGGAAAGGGTGGTACTCCGGATGATACAGATCCCAATGATCACAACTGTTGGATGCGCCCAGAAGACATTGATTACGATAGGCCAGTTGCTATATGCCATAGTTGCTCTGATCTTGCTGCAGAGATGGCTGCTGCTTTGGCTTCAGCGTCCATTGTTTTCAAGGATAACAAGGCCTACTCACAAAAGCTTGTCCATGGCGCTAAAACCCTATTTAAATTCTCCAGGGACCAGCGTGCTAGATACAGTTCTGGTAATGAAGCTTCAATTTTCTACAACTCCACCAGCTACTGGGATGAGTTTGTGTGGGGTGCCTCTTGGCTATACTATGCTACTGGAAATTCTTCTTACCTTCAGCTGGCTACAACTCGTGGTCTCGCTAAGCATGCCGGTGCTTTTTGGGGAGGCCCATATTATGGTGTATTCAGTTGGGACAATAAGCTTGCTGGAGCTCAAGTAATTTTCACTAAAAAATTAATTTTTGTTTATGTTTGATTTGAGTTTTAGCTACACGATCCACTTTGCACTTATAATAACTAGTTCTGTTATGTGGATTAAATCCTTTAAATAAATAATGTTATAGGTTTGTTCTTTTAGTTAACGACCAACAGTTGAACTCCAAGGTTTTTCAAATTGCCAAATTCACTTTTCTTTGCCTTCCATAGGATCTTATGTTTTTGTGGCTTGAAGTTGCATTCCAGTCATTTTATTTGTTTGAATAATGTATGAATGTTGAAATATAGTGTTCAATTATATTATCGTCTTAGGAACAATACGTGTAGCTTTTCTTGAAGAATAAAGCAGCTGATATGGTGTCATCCGGACTTTGGAAATTTTCCTCCCAGAGCTTGTACTTGTAGAGTTTGTCTAGTTAAGAATTTTACAGATTGTTTGTAAAATGATCTTTTTGATGCTGTATTTAGGTGCTTCTGAGCCGATTGAGATTGTTCTTGAATCCTGGCTATCCTTATGAAGAAATTTTGAGTACATTTCACAACCAGACTGGCATATTTTTGTGCTCCTTCCTGCCTGATTTTACAACATTTAATAGAACTAAAGGTAATCTATCTTGCCTCATTGCCATGAATGGAAAACTAAATATTTTTTGTGCTCCTATGTTTTTAACTTGTACTAATGTTCGGGGACCTTTTACAGGTGGCATGATACAGTTAAACCATGGAGCACCTCAACCTCTTCAGTATGTAGTCAATGCAGCATTCTTGGCTACGGTGTTCAGTGACTATCTTGATGCTGCTGACACACCTGGGTGGTACTGTGGACCCCATTTCTACCAAACTAGCGTTCTTCGAAAATTTGCTGAGACCCAGGTGAAATATATGTTGCCTTCTCATTTGAGCGCATTTGAGTTGGTGATTATTTACATTGTTTTTTTTTTCTTTACTTTTCAGATAAACTACATCCTCGGCAAAAATCCTAGAAAGATGAGTTACGTTGTGGGCTTTGGAAATAATTATCCAAAGCACGTCCACCATAGAGGTGCATCCATACCCAAGAACAAGGTCAAATATAACTGCAAGGGAGGATGGAAATGGAGGGATACAAAAAAGCCAAACCCTAATACAATTGTTGGTGCCATGGTTGCTGGCCCTGACAGACATGATGGATTCCATGATGTTCGTACAAACTACAACTATACGGAGCCGACCCTTGCAGGAAATGCTGGTCTAGTTGCAGCACTTGTTGCCCTATCCGGAGAAGGGACCAAAAAAATTGACAAAAACACGATATTCTCTGCAGTACCACCCATGTTCCCGACACCTCCACCACCACCTGCTCCTTGGAAACCATGAGTCGCAATAATGGACTTGGTCCTTTTGTTTTTGCTGTGTGACCCGATAAACTGAACATTGATGTTGCAGTTAATTTCTAAAGCATCCTGAAAACCAAAGGAGTACAGAAACTAGGAGCTTGAAGACAGCTGCTGGGCTAAGTGGACTGGAAAGTTGGTATAACTTGAGGAAATACCCTTTTTTATATTCATAAGTTTGTGATATACTGTGTGTTGTGTATGTATTATACCAGCTATATATTCTTTCGAAAGCTAGAACTTGAACATGAAGGATCGAGCTGTTTTAGAATAAATAATGATGATGTCTAACGTACTCTTTGTGCAACGCATTTGTCGTCTTCTTTCTGCAGCAATGCTCATGTTTGTAGTTTCTTATACGCGGCTTGAAGACTTGTCACTTGTTTTCTCCGTTCTAAACACAAATTCCATCTCATTTTCATGTATATTATTATCTCCCGTTTTATCTCTTAGAATGAAATTCTGCAATAAGGTGATTCACATTCAAGAATTCCTTCTTTCCCTTGCCTTGACTGGCACTAAGCTCGTGGCTGACCTCCCTATAGATCTTGTCACTGGCATTACAGAACCTGTTGTTTTTCTGTTGACCCATGAGGTCAGTCTGGATGCCACGTTTTCGCTTTGGCCAGGGTTAACGAGTTCAGGATTCATTGAGCTCTGTATGTGGGCAAGTTCGACATCGATTGATAACCACATAAGAATGGTAATTAACCCTGATTAAGTAGACATCAATGGGGACACAGGATTTTTATTCAAAACGCCAATTGATAACCACATAAGCGTGTTAATTAACCCTGATTAGGTAGACATCAAATCTCACCTATAACGGGAAATATAGGCATTATAGGATTTTTCTCCCAAACGTCCAATCTCACCTATAACGGGAAATATGAGGTAGGGTAGGGTGCAAACCCACCATTTAGGCAATCATCGCACCGCCTTCAGTAAGAACAATGCTATATAGCATGTGCTAGAACACCAGTCTATACGACAATATATGATAAAGTTCAATTAAATGTTATGTAATCGATTTAATCGTATATTTCATTTAATGACACTTTGTGGTACTTAGACTAGTGATGTTAAATAGCATTACTCAGCATGTAATCATCAGCCATAGATTGAACAATTGACACAAAGTTCGAGGTCGGACACTATAGCATAAAATGACCATGACCGTTTATGTTATACGTTTCACTCAATTATTTTCAATCTTCAACATCAACAATAATATCATAGTACGAATAACAATTTATTATTGATTAATATACTCATATTAAAACATGTAGAAAAAGATGGCTCCAATGTATTTCATATGAAGAAAGGGACATGTGAAAAGTCAAAAGTAACCGGCGTGGTTAATGAAAGAAGAAAAAATTAATTAAAATACCTCATAGGTCCATGAGAAACGTAATGAAAAATGCCATACACAAGAATATAAATCCACCCAAAGCACCACAGGTCAAAGGGAATTTTAACTGCATGTTTGTCAAAGTTTATCATAGGTTATAAGTAATGAGTATTTGTCGTTAAAAATAAGTAAAAGTTGCGAATATTATGAGTGAAATGTGCGAATGAAAATAAATTTTTGATCACTTTATAAATAATTAAAAACTTAGATAAACATATATGAAATGAGTGACAACCCTTCAAATTCTCTCACAGTTCTACTGCTAAATATTTAATTTATACAACAAGAAATTTTTTTTTTTTTCAAATTACGGCCTATTTAGCAGGACTATTGTTTTGTTTCTTATTTTTTTAGACCTTTAAGAGGAAGTTACCTTAAATCAATTTCTTTTTAAAAACTCTTTTGACCTTATAAAGCTCTTTTCAAATATATTAAAAAATAACTTCTTAATTTCAAAAATAATTTTTAACATTTCAAAAGTCGTGTCAAACTACCCTTAAAGAGCTTCTTAATTTAATCAATGGTCACTGAACTTTGATATAGGTTACTACTTGTTCATTGAAATCTGAAAAATTACTCTTTGCTCACTGAATTTTGTTATATATGGGTTATCATTTGGGTAATGTTATTCATCCCCACTGAAAATGAATAACATTACTCTTATTATTTGCTTATCGAAATTTAAAAGGTTATTCGTTGCTCACCCAAATTTGAACAAAGTTACTCATCAATCACCCATATAATTTCTGTTAGTGTTACATATAGTAAAGTTCACTGAACTAGTAACTTTGTTCAAATTTAGGTGAGCATAAAATAATCTTTTACATTTTGGTGTGCAAAATCTATAACAAAGTTTAGTGAATAATAAATATTTTTTTAAAGATTGATGAGCAAGTAGTAACGTACAAGAAATATAGTAACCATTGATTAATCTCTGAAACAAAAACAAATACCACTTGGGTGGTTCCCTCGAGTAAAATAAATAAATAAATACAGGTTTGACTAATAATAAGTAACAAGAGACCGCATTATTCATTCTACTTGTAAAACCGTTCCTTCTCCTCCGTTCTTCTCCCACATCACTACAAAAACCCTCTCTTCCTATCTAAAGCTACACATACACTGATACACACAAAATTTGTTATAGATATGGCACTAAACTATGAGTATCCTGTATACATGTTGAGAAGTGAGAAGGGGTACACGGTGACGGAGTTGGAGAAGAGACAGCTGTTCTTGAGAAGCTACCAGTTTTCCAGGAAGCAGAGTTTGACTGAGAAGATTAAGAAATCTTTGTTTAGAGTGAAAAGGGTGATATGGGGTAGATTCAGATCAGCAAGAAAGTTAAGGAAGATTTTGTGGTTGAAGCTCAAAAATGGCTTGTTTTTCACAAGTAGTAGAAGAAGAAGACGGTTTTCTCTACGCCTCCATAACTGCAACAGTCGAGCTGCTTTAAAAGATGTTACTTGCCCATCTTATTGTTTCTGATAGGATTTTATTTTTCCCATTTTTAGGTTTTGTTTTTGATGGTTTGGAATTCTTGATCTTGAATGGGAATGGTCAGCTTTGGTTTCAAAGTCCAGCGTTTAGAATCAATGCTACATGTACATAATTTTTTTTAGCTAATCTTTTATCTACACTCACAGTGGGGTGTGAGGACCACATTTTTGAGAGTTTTTTATTCACGCGGGCCCCACACATGTAAGAGGGTGTAACATTTTCGGTAAGAAAAATTATGTACAAATAGTTTTATCCTAACATATATACCATAATTTTTAGGCTTTCTAATGTTGACCTATATTTGTCATGGATCATGACATGGAAAGTTCAACGAGCTCGTTTGACGGGACTTTCAAAAAGTCAAAAGTTATTTATGCATATTTGGATGATTTTTTGCAAGTACGCTAGAAAAGTTTTTAGTAACGTGTTGTACTATGGGTGCCTATAATGGACACATCAAGAAGTTCTTCTATAAGAAGAGAAACAAAAGCAAAATAGATGTTTGCCAAACATGCCCTCTCTTACTATGGATACTTCAATTTGGATAGCTCCTCAAACACTCTGCTATAGTCATTTTTCTTTCTTTATATAAAATATTATATATTTTTAACTAAAAATTATTATTAAATAACAAATGTGTACTTATAGTTACAAGATTTCAACAAGAAAATTAATAACACATATAAAATTAAATTTATATTATATAAATGATAATTTTTAAAAAATTAATCAACGTGTCGACGATATATCTGGTTAGAATTTTTTTTTTTGAAAATTGCACGTTGACTTATCCAACACATATCATGTCTAACATACGTATCCGTGTCGATCCATCCTAACATGCCCCGAAAACACCATGAAAATCATTGACAATTCATTTGGACAATTGAATCCAAAAAAATGAAAGTGATGACAGGAATCATGCAACTTTAATCAGGTCCGATTTCATGGTTTCATTAAGCATGGTTGACAAAAAGTAAGAGATTGTTTGGTACAAATTTAAATCAGATTTTAATTTAAGTTAAGCAATCAATATTAATCACATCTTTCATGGGTCCCACAGCTTTTCAACCAAACATTTCAAAAATTTCTATCAAAATCTAATTTTAATCCCCAACAAACACCCATAAGTTTTGTTAATCTAAAAGTAATTTCTTTGAATATAAAATCTTTTAATAAGTAAACTTATAAATTTATAATTTCAATGGATTGCTATAAGTTCATTACAAACAAAATAGAAAATTTTGTCCTGATTGGAACAACCGCTATGGGGAACAAGTACAACCACCATCTTTTTCTGTAAAGAAAAACATCGGACAGACAAAGATTCGCGCCTGCTTGTAATATTGAATTCGTAAAACGTTCTCAAAGACTATAGGACCTGAATTCACATTGGTTTTGTTTAAATTACTTTTATCAAAGTCAATTGAAATTTGTGAGCAATTACTTTAAGAAAAAAGATGTTTGTGCAGTATTAGCGTATATCTTTGTACACAGCTCTCTCACAATCGTGGACCCTATGATTATTTTATAATCATGGGCTCCACTATTGTTGTGAGAGAGTTGTGTAATTTGGTGTACACCAAACATCTCTTTTACTTTAATTATTTTCTCATATGGGAAGAGTTTGTTGGCCGATTCAATGATTTTAAATGGTAAAAATTCTCGATCTCTTTTCCTTCTACATTATTCGGGTATTGTTGTTAAGTGACATCAAATTATAATGGTACATAATTTTCAAGAGTAATGTCATTCATCAAATGTTTATAAGATGACAGTAAAGTCGATATCACGTTATCTAATAGACTTTTCGTGCTTGTTAGAAATTATAATATAGATTTTTATTAAAGTCAAAGTCAGCGGTGACATCGGTCGGCAACTGGTTGCGAATATATTAAATTTTTGGGTGAGGAGATTCGAGAAGATTGAAGAAGGAGATGTGTTTCATTTTGTTGATTTTGCTTATTTTTTATATTAAAATTATAAACTAACCATTTTATTCTTACCTTATTTGGTCAAAATTATTAAAATTTTAATTTTTGAAGTCAACTGACGGTTTTTTGGGTCAAACTGACTGAAGTCGTCAACCTGGACATGAGCTGTGAATTTTTTAAAGATTTGGTACCTACGGTGGCATAAATGAAAGGTTTGGGTAAAGTCTGCTACTAAGTGAAATGTTTTGTATTGTGACGGCAATTTTACCTAAAAACTTTTCAGGCTTAGCCGAACGTGCAACTTGTTAGGTCCCAGCTAATGGCGGCCCAAGATCTTGCCCAAACTCATATACTGAATTGGGCCTTGCAATGGAAAATTTCAGATTTTGCCGCGCGAAGGTCAACCCAAACGAGATTCAAATATTGTCATTTTCGCCAAACCCAAGGTTCGGACAATCCGAACCAAAACACTTTCTCTCAACTCCGAACCTTAAATTTGGCCATCTTTGTCTTATCTCGTACACTAAAATAATTCCTAAATCTCCTCGTTCCAGCGTTACATTTCCTCCTTGCCTAATTTTAACCGTCTGATTAGCAAACAAGTATTAATCAACGCCGAAAAAACCTTTCACTACTTCCGTATATAATTGGCGAATCTCTCATTCGTCTCTCTCTCTCTCTCTCTCTCTCTCTGTCTACAGTTAAATGAATTTCCGTAATTTACAGTGAATGCTTGAAGTTGTAGAATTAGTTGGTGTTGGCTGCCGAAAATCCATCCATACACCAGGTATATGTGTATATAATATACAGCTGTATTATGCATGTATCCAGTATCTATATATGATGTGATTGCAAAAAAATTTGTTCTTGACAAACGTGTGGCTCAAACAGGAGCCGTCGTTTGATTGTCAACCCACAATTTTGAATTTTTAATCTGAGTGTAAAAAATGGTCAACTAGTCTATACTCGCGGAAATCTATGTATTAAATGGTGCCTGTGCTGTAGCTTTTCTACAAGAGCGTTCCAACTGGAGATAGAATGATTAACTGTATAAAACTCATTTCTAGGCCTTGATTTGATGTATGTCGGACCATCAAAGTAAATTGGACACCTGAGTTTTCCATTGAAGTGATGGCGTCGTTGGCGGAGAAACGAACTGTGGATCCGTTGCTAAAAGATCTCAGTGAGAAGAAACAGAGCTTCCGGCGGAACGTGGAGTCGCTGGCGGCAGAGCTCAAGGAGGTCCGCGGCCGTCTCGTTTCGCAGGAACAGTCATCTGCTCGCGAAAGCATAAACAGACAGGCACGAACAAACTATTATTTCCCAACTCTTTGTTTTCGAATCTGTTTTAAAATTCAAATAATTCGTATGATATGAATGAAATGATTTGAACCTTTCGTTTTAGTTTAGAAATATTTAGTGTTGGACACTTAAATCTACGTAAAAATCATGAATATTCCAATGACAGAGATCTATTACTTCTTCGTTTTAAATTTGATTTCTGTCATACAGGAAGCAGAAATCAAAGCCAAATACCTGGAAAAAGAGACAAGTAGATTGCAGCAGAGTTTAGATGACAGAAATCAACAGCTTCGGGCTTCAAAAGCTGCGGCCAAGATGGTACGTCTTAATTCTCTCTATGTTTTTCTGTATTATTTCTACATCTTAATTGTAATAAGATTTAAATCTTGATGAATCTGATTAGTATGGATCAACTTTTTCATTTTGGTATATAGGGTTTGCATAATTTTATATAGACTCGCCGTCTAACACATACCGATCCTCTTTTGAGGGTACTTTTTGGCTTTTATTGTTTGTTGTTTTGGGTAAGTAGTGACAAATGACAATCATATGGATTGTACTGATAAACTATTTCCTCCCCTTGGAACATTTTGGTATTTTGCACAGTTCTAGTGTCTTGTCTCCTTGTAATTAGCATTTAGTTTCCAAAAAGAGTTGTCTTGGAACATTTACTGGTTGAATCAAAGGCAACTACAAATTGTATCCACCCATCTTTTCGGTAATTCTAGTATCCTTTAGTATTTTTTTTATATTATTATTGGCACAAGATGCATTGTTTTTAAGGGACAGTTATGTTGTGTGGTTGAGGGAGAAAATTATGTTTAAGGAACATTTGAGGGCGGGTTTAAGGAACAAAATTATTAGCAAGAACCAGTTATTATCAGATTCATAGCTGGTATTGATGAGAGTTTATTGAGGCTGTTATATTGCTCTAGTTAGCGTGAAGTTCTATTATGTCTGAAGATCAGAAATAGAGCAGAATCAGAGAAAAGAAACTAGAGATGTCCAAGATAAAATAAAATAAAATAATAAATAAATAATTATCTTACGTTAGGGGACTATGATTGGCAAGTACTAAATACTGGTGGATTGTAACATAAATCCTAGATGAGCTAGGATTTGATATAAAACTCAAACAGTGTAAGAGTTCCCTCTTAATGCTCATTTATAAAACTAAAAAATTAAAAGTATCCCCGGCTCTTCAACTTCGTTAAAGACAGAAATATGCAAGAAAAAGACTGGACTAGGACTTCCAAAACAATGAGAAACTTTTTGACTCGATATAGTCACTTTTATGTATTTTGGTTGATACTTCTATGGGGATTATTGGAATTCTGTTTTCTTACATCTGACTTCTTGTATCTATCCACAATATCCTTTTGCGTATGTTTCTTTTCCTATCTTAATTCTGATCCAAGTTCTTTTATTTATAACGTATTTTAGTACGTGAGGGATTTGGACGATCTGAGGTCGCAGCTTTCAGCTACTAAAGCAACAGCAGATGCAAGTGCATTATCTGCTCAATCTGCACAATTACAGTGTTCTGCATTGTTGAAAGAATTAGAAGTGAAAAATTGCTCTTTGAAAGAGCACGAGAATCGTGTGAATAAAATGGGAGAACAATTAGATCTTTTGCAGAAGGATCTTCAAACAAGGGAAATTTCTCAAATGCAACTCAAAGATGAAGTCTCAAGAATTGAGCACGAGATCATGCAAGCATTAGCTAAGGCTGGAGCAAATAAAGATTGTGAGCTTAGGAAAATATTAGACGAGGTTTCCCCGAAGAATTTTGAGAAGATTAATAAGCTTTTGACTGTAAAGGATGAAGAAATAGCTAAGTTGAGAGATGAAATTAGGATTATGTCTGCTCATTGGAAGTTGAAGACTAGAGAGTTGGAATCTCAGGTTTGTTATCTGAACTTGTTTCGTAGTAGAAACATTCAATTAGTTCTCTCATTAGATCCAAGATTATTTTCTAATAATCCATGCCTTATTTGTTTGACAGTTAGAGAAGCATCGTAGAGTTGATCAGGAGCTGAAAAAGAAAGTCCTCAAGTTAGAGTTCTGTCTTCAAGAAACTCGTTCACAAACTCGGAAGCTCCAAAGGGTAATTCTCTATTTTTCTTTTATAACTGGCATTGGTATATCATGTTTGACACATCTCATGGATTACAATTACGGATGGATGAAGCATATTGAAAATTGATCATTAACTTACGGCGAATTTGCAAAGTAAATATGACTAATTCACTAAATTTATTTTGCTTTTATATTTATACTTCTTTTCTTCACTCTCTTTTTCTCTCTCTGGTCATGTTAATATTGATGGCATTCGTAGTGATTCATATATATTCCACAGATGGGAGAGCGAAGAGATAGAGCTCTGAAGGAACTAAGAGATCAGTTGGCTGCAAAACGACAGGGTGCACCTGTAAATGAAAAGCACAATCCATGGGAAACTTCTGGTTTTAAGATTGTAGTTTCAATGTCAATGTTGATCTTAGTAGTATTTTCAAAGAGATAATTTGATCTTAGCAATATTCTCGAAGATGTTATGTTGTTGCAGTATCTATTCCTACTGTATACTAAGATCATAAGCGTAGAAGTAAACTCGAGTAGATTAGGTTAGGTGCATATTCTGTTTTATTGTAGAAATGTGCACCCTGGAGATCGTTTTCTTTTGTATTCAACAGCAAAACCCTCTCGTTATGCCCCAATTCTTAAGAATGAAGCTATGTATGGCCACAATTTTAATGAAAATATGGAATAAAATGTTTTATTAAGTGAATAATCACAGGTTAGAGGGTAATTCTCAAATCAACCGATGGGTTTCGAACTTGGCATGGCAGTATACACGTTGACTACCTCTGTCATTATCTCTCTTAATCTCCACACCTCGAAATCTTGGTTGCCTGTAGCTGCATTTAGCTTGAACCTTAAGCTTTCGATTTCTTTGAAAGTTCTTTTAGCCAGATAAGCACTTTCACTATATTATTGAACATGTTCAAAAATAGTTTCTTAATTTTAGAAGTAGCTTTTTATTTTTCAAGTCATATCAAACGGCCCTATTGTAGACTGATGAATTATATGAGCAGCAAATATTTTGAACAAGCTTTATTTATGTATCTCTATATGGAACATGCCTTTCATATATTTTCAGCTTCTTTCTGTCCTGCTCCAATTGGTTTCCATTCTCAAGGTATTTTTAGGATGACATAACATATCTGCGGAACTAGTGAAGTATGCAACTAGTGCTATTCAGTTCAAAATTTGATGAGAACCAAGCACACGGAATTCTTGACTATTTCCTTTTCCTGCAAAGATCTGCACCGCCCAAAACTGATACACTAGTCGTTCAATGAGCATCTGATCCATTGATGTATGGAGAAGGTTTCCTCTAGATATCGAAAATGAATCTTCCTGTCATAATGGATGCCACTGCAATGATGCAGCCAATAAATGGCTGCTAACTACCTGATGTGGAAATTGAAGCGTTTGCACTTGCATGGCTTTCAACAAAGCCTGTTGAGGTGCCTCCACCCATGATTGCTACTATTTAAGACTGATGGACTAATTGAACTACAAAAGTGAAAAGAAGAAAAGAATGCGACAACATGATTTCTTTCTAATAATGAAGAAGCAATTAAGGATATGTTTGGTACGTAGTACTAGATACGACCAGAGACAATCAGTGTAATTGAGAATATTTTAGTTTCTTTTGGTTCTTTAATACTTTTCAGTAATTTCCAGTCTATGTAATGAAAACATTTCTGCACAAAGATTAGTGTTTACCCAGGGCCTGTTCCAGATGAAGATGCTGTTGTTGGCATTGGAGTTGCTGTGATTGGGCATGTCGTTGATGATGATGATGTAGGGAAAATACAAGAACCAGTGCCTGTGTGAAAAGGCAGATATTCATGAGAATAGGCTTCTGACTTAATTGTTTGTGTATATCAGATAGAGGTCCATCGACATTATTGTGCTTACATCGATATTATTGTACTTTTTTAAAAAAAAAAAAAGCCAACCGAACTGATATCACTAAACAAGATCACCTAGCACAAAAGGCGCGAGAATAATGAAATACATTTTGTCGAACTAGACAAAAACACGTGATAACATGCAAAGGAAGCTAGCTTATGGGCCACTTTATTCCCATCACAGGTACAAAATGGCAAGGACCGGGCAAAACCGGGATTAAACAACAAGGGGGCTTTCAATTTTTTCAAAACATTTTTTAATTTGATGACTTGAAAACTTAATAATTACGACCATCAACGTAATACCTTGTTATTATTGCTAATATGACAAGTTTGTGTACAAATAATTTAATGTGAAACAGCAGGCTTTGGCTATCTTGAAAGCAAATTATGGAATTTAACGAGAAATATATATACAGAAGAATTTTTAATGACACTTGTAATTAGTTCGCTTCACGCATAGACATAGATTATTCAATTGATGTGAATCATGTGATGTCTTGGAGTCAGACTTAATTCATAACATTGGTGGATGGGAAAATTACATAATTCCAGACTTTTCAAAATCATGGTACAAAAATCAGGTGACAATGTTTTTATTCAAAAGTCAGGTTTTGATTTAACTATTAAAATATATAACACAGCTCATCACAATCCAATTTCAAACCCTAAAACTCAAATTCATTTGACTCCACATTTTCTCCCACTCTCTACACTTAACCCACACTTCCATCTCTCAATCCTCTCCCTCACACATGAGTAACCGCCGTCGCCGGAGACCATTGCGACGACTGCCTCCGAACGCCATTATGCAAATATTGCGAAGACTACCTTCGTTCACAGCGACAACCACCTCCGAGCGTCACTGTGCAGATACGAGGGTAAGTTCGGCACCGACTGGTGCTAGCATGGGGAGGGGGTTTGGGGTTTTTTTCTTTCTCTTTACAATCTGAGGAGGTTGTGGTGAATCGTTGATATGGGTGGTGGTATCTTGAAGTGGTGGTGGCGGCGACGATTTGGGGATTGTTTGGTAGACTGTGATTTTTGTGTGGTTGTGTTGGTGAATATGTTGACGTTAGTGCTGGTGGATGGTGGTAGCGCTGGCGATGGTCGCATGGTGAGGGTGGTCACAAGTTGTGGTGTTGGTGCTGGGGTTGTGTGACCGGCGGTTGGGGACTTTTCAGATCGATGTTGTTGAGGCAGTTAGGTGGTGCTGGGATTGGAGACTTTTCAGATCGATGCTGTGAGATGGTGGTGGTGGGTGTGTGTTGTGGGTGCGGTGGTGGTGATGTGCACGGTGGTTGTACTGTGGTGTTGTGGAGGTGCTGTGCACTGTGGTGGTGCTATGGACTGGAGAGCTGTGGTGAGTGCGACAATGGTGTGGTGCTGTGGGCGCCTTTGTTGTGTGCGGTGGTGGTGTGTTGGATGGGTGTGTGCAGTTATAGCGATGATAGGGTGCACTTAGTACTGTGTGCGGTGGTTGGGTTGGGCATGGTGGTGCTGTATGGTGGTGGTGGTGGTGATACTGACGGGATGGTGTTGAGGATGGTGGTGTGTGACCACTATTTGATGTATGTGACCAATTACTTGGTTACATGTGACCAAGTATTAAACTGTGATGATAAAATTTGATAACTCGTGACTTGAAAAGTAATTTGTGACCAACAAATCTGGAAACATGTGACCAATAGATAAATCGTGACCTGTAATTTTTTTACCTGTGACTAATAAAATAAATCGTGACCTATAATTTGAAAATCTGTGATCAATTAATTTGGAAATCCGTAACTGTGTGACCTACAAATTTTGATCTGTGACCAACTAATTTTGAAATTTGTGACCAACGTATTAATTGTGACTTATAAAATTTTTGAAATGTGATCGTAAATTGTAAATCTGTGACCGAAATGATTGCCGGAATAGTCGTCGGAATGGTCGCCGGAATAGTCTCCGGAGCGGTAGGGGTGATGCATGTGGGGTGGGTTTATTATATTATATTATATTAGAATTAAAAAAAAAAACTGATTTTTGAATTTTCAAACTATAAACATGATTTTTGAATTGGTGTAAACTAAACACCTTATTTATGAATTTTTCCCTTGGTGGATCTCCGTTGAAGTCTATGCCAAATTTCAATACCCAAATTGGACCAAATTTGGGCCTAATTGCATTTTTTTTTATTAACTAGAATATAATGTGACAGTAATATTACTATTATATTAAGAGGAAATTACACTTACACCTGGTTTTAAAATACCATTTTCATAAATCAAGTATCTGGTTTCATAATACAAAAATCGAGTTTTAATTAAAGATTTAATTTTTTTTTATCTACCTACACTATCCAAACCCTAAACCAATCCATATCCTCTCCACTCTCTCACTGTCTCTCCACACACGGCGAGCAACCACCGTCGGTCCTTCTATATTCTCTGTCTCTCGACCTTCTCTCTTCTCCACTCTACTCCCTCTCAGCCGGCAGCCCAGTCTCCACGAGATGGCGTAGCCTCATCCGGCGGCTTTGTACAGATCCAGTGGTCTTGGTGCATATCCGTTCTTCTTCTTCTTCTTTTTTTTTTTTTTTCAATTTTTGATTGGTGCGGTGGAGGTGTACCGTGCGGTGTTGGTGGAGGTGTGAGCGTCGCTGCTTCGATGCGAAGTGTGAACGGGTGTGTGCGCGAGCGGTGCTGTGGGTGTGTGCGCGACCGGTGCTGTGGGTGAATGAACTGCTAACGGGTGTGTGCGTGTGTGCGACGACGGTTGTGATTGGGTGTGTCCGGTGTCGTGACGATGGTCGTGGGTGGGATGAGATGGATGTGGGTGTCAGTGACTAATTATTTGGTTGATTGTAACCAATAATTGGTTAATTTTTAACAAATTAATAATGAGTGACCTAAAAATTGTGACTGTGACTCACATTTTATTAAGTTATAATTGAGTTGTGACCAACAAAAGTAATCCGTGACCTATAATTTGATATTTTTTGATCATAAAATAAATTGTCTGACTTATAAATTTTGTGATTTGTGATCGATGAACAAATTATGACTTTAAAATTTTTAATTTATGACTGATGAACGAATTGTAACATATAAAATTTTTGAATTGTGATCAAATTACATAGATATGTGACATTTATATATTTATTAATAAAATACATAATTAATTAATTAAATTATAAATAAATTTTAATGAAAACTTGATTTTTGAAATTTAAAACATCTATCCTTAATTTTGAAATAGTGATACTTAAATACCTTATTTATATATTGTTCCTTTATATTAATCAGTTAAATTAAAATATATTTTCATTCATTAAATAATATAACAGAAACCATATTGTCACGTAGATCAGTGATCATCCAAACTATAAATCAATTAAAGCCACTTAATTACCACATAAACTCAATCTATATGAACAACATCGTTCTTTAAAGAACTATGCTACAGTGCAAGATAAGTTGACGGAAATGTTAACCTTTTATCATTGTATTGTTAAAAGCACAATCAGATTTTTCATTCAATCATCTGATGTCACCTTTATTTCGATCATTGCATCTATCAAAATCCTTATGACAAAGTGGCATAATCTTTCTTTAAAACCTAAATAACAAGTTTGATAAAGAGTGATTGGGGACACCTCACTTAAAATTATTGGACGTTACATTTTTTTAAATTTTAAATAACAAAACGCCACTCGTTAAGGACATATTAAGAGTAGTTAAGAGATGTTGATTGTTGACGTGTGCAGTTGTTAGCCGCACGAGATTATTCTAAACAGTGTAATTAATGATTTGCTAATCTGTCAATAATCGAAAGGACGAAGAGAAGTGACATATGGGTGTGAACATTCATGCAACTAAAAAATAAGTGAAACCCACCCCACCCCACCCCACCCCACCCCCACATAATTAATTCTGAAATAATTGTTTGGCCTTGTTTCTTATAATTAAATTGGTTAATTAATTACTAATATTCTCTAGAGAATGTTTCAAATCAAGATTTGGTATCATCTCATTTTCTAGTCCAAATAGCAATTGGCAAAATCGACTAGACAACTCATTCCTTGCTTGAAGATAATTTCAAATTAGAAGTCAAAGATAGACGGAAAAAGTCAAAAATTATTTTCGTATGAAGCATTTCATGTAGAAAAAACCAACATATATTTTGAATTTCAATTTTGCTGTGTGTACAGAAAACTGCCAACACACACACAACAGGGGCCCACATTTTTTGGCAATATTTAATTTCACGTGGTGGTCCACCTCCATGTGAGTTTTCTGTTGAACTTCTGTGGTAATTTTTCTGTACAGATGGAAAAATTCTTTGAATTTTTGCTCGTGAAGTTGACAAATTTGACTTTTATTGCAACGTAAGACACGGGAGACTAATTTTATGGGTCATTAGGACAATTATCGTAGACATGGTTTAAGAAAATCTCGTGATTAGTGGGCACTAAAATATTAATTAATCTCGTATCTATAGACAGCATTTCGATTGATCATCTCATTATTAATTTTATAAATAAGGTTTGTGATTTGTGCAATGTGTGAAGAATTGAATGATAATCGTCTATGAAGTCGTTACAGTATTATGGATATATTTGATAGTGTTACTACTTTTGCTTCTGCTTTTTATAGAAGATATTTCCTAAGAAAAATAGATTAGGTCAATTTCCTTTAAGATTTCATGTAGTCGACAAATCACCTTCAAAAAATTATTCAAATGGATGCAAAAGTAGGTTCTTAATTTTAGAAACGACTTTTAACTTTTCATAAGCCTTGCCAAACGAGATCTATGTCTCTTTTAAAACAAAATTTGATAGGTATTAAAAATGAACAAACAATAACGAAACTAATTAAAATTTTGGATAATTTCTCGTCTATTAGATGAATTATTCTATATGTATATTATTGTTTACATTAGGGATGACATTCCCTCCTGTATGTCAAAATCTGGCCAGCGATGTGCAATGGCGTTAAGAAAATCAAAAGTTGTGATGGGTGCCATGTAGAAGGATGTCAAAGTTAATTTTAAAAATAATGTACATGTAGCATGTTTGTTGTTAGATAACTCAATGTAGTACTATTTTAGGTAAGTTCAAGGGCAGAGTCGGGAAATGACAAAAATAATTTTCCACTCAACTAATACATTGAAGATAAAGTATGAATACTTATAATTATCGGAGCTTTCAAATAAGATAATTAAAAGTGGTATAAAAGTAAATAAAGATGTTAATTGCTCATTTGGTATAGCTTTTGAGAAGATAAATGAGCTTTTGATACTTAAAAGTTGCTTTTGGATTCGTTGGACTAATTTTAAGAAAGTGTTTCTTTTAGTTAGAAAAGTTTTGAGAAAAATTTGGTCCAGAACCCGTTTGGCATGGCTATTGAAAAGTTAAAATGAGCTGTTCGATATTCAAAAATTATTTTTGGACTCGTTTAGCTAATTTTATAATAATTAGAAGAGTTTTTACAGAAAGCTGATCTAATTTGACTTTATCTAAAGGTATTTTCAATGTAGAACGTTGTTTTAAAAATTAGTTTCCGAAAAAAAATTAAGATAATTTCCTCCAAATTCTATTTTATGGGAAACAAAAACAAAATAAAAAGTCGTGTTAAATATGTCCCGACTTCTCTAAAAACACTTTCGAAATAGAAAGCTCTTTTAGAAATTAGTTTCTAAACAAAAATTAAGATAATTTTTCAAGAAAACTCTTCTACGGAAAGAAAAATTGCAAGTCACACCCATATGTTTCGTTATACTTTTGACGAAATTGGAATTCTGGTTTGCTTGTGACGGAAACGGAATACTTTTTAATTAATATCCTTGTTTCCAAATTACTCAAATGAGAGAGTGTAGAAGCAAGCAAGTACCTACAAAGTATTAATCATGGAATTAATTATTTGACTTAGGCTCTTAATCCAACACATGATAACTGTATTTTTACCTGTAATTTCGGCTTTCAAAGAAAATTAAAGATGCATTGATCTTTATCAGTGTTTGGTGCAATCTATATCTCGATTAAATTAATTTAGGGCTTATTCGTATAAGAATAATGTTATTCATCCTCATTGAGGTTGAGCCCCAATCTATATGACAATTAGATGACATTAAATGATAAATTCGATTAAATGAGTCATGTAACTTTGTATTTAAATGAATATATCATTTAATGTCATGTAATTGCCATATGAACAATGCTACATATATAATACATGAGTTACAACATTAAGTTACAACCTCTCACAAAGGGGGTGTGCCCCGCGATTAAAATAATAGTGAACCCACATCTCTTGTAAGAGGTTATAACTCAAGGATTTTTCTACTTTACCAGGCCTGGTAAAGTCCTCTCATCACAATGAGGTGGGTTCGCTCAATAAAAAAACCCCCCAAAAATGTACCCACCCACCCCCCACCCACCCCACCCCACCCCAAATGTGAGAGAGTCGGGTACCGACCTGTGAACCAAAACCTGGTACCCAAGCTCAGCTCACAACTCAATTGGAATGAATAACAATACTCTTCATATAATGATATAAAGTGGGTTTAGACCCATTATTTTCTAATCCCTTTATAAATTAAGAAAAATGATCTACGAATAACGTGTTTAGTTTGATATGACATATCAATTTATTGATTAATAATAAATTTAATTTAAATATTGAGATCCACGACAAACTTGTACACCAGTATATTGGATTTTTCATGTCATTGATTTTTAGCATACGATGAGCACCACTAGTCACTAGATTATTTCTCGATTAGTAAAATTGGATAATAAATTTACTTACAATTAAATACGAGTCAAGAATTTCACTTATAAGTAAGAAGTTACTTAGGATTTCTTTTATTTTTTTATTTTAGTTATGAGTAAAAAAGTACTTAGTTTTTAAGGGAAAAAAACTTGTGCATAGGTAGAAAAATTACTCATAAATAAACAATTCATTTATAAGCACAAAATTATTGTATAAGTAAAACGAATTACTTATGATTAAACATTCATATAAAAAAAAAAGTGTAATAAATCTAGAAAATTGCAGAATTGGTTTCCAATTTATATTCTATATAGCAAGTTGATCCTCAACTATTAAAATGAAACAAATTGGTCATCAATCTTAATTTCACTAGTACTCTAAATCGGGATGGTTTTCAGTCAGAACTGCATTAAGAAGTTAACTTTTATTGGAAAATTGGTTATGCGCTTATTTTTAATTAAATAAAAAAATATATAAAGAAAAAAAATGAGTTAAGAATGACGATTGGTATTAATCATCCTTCGAACGGTCACATTTTGTTGTTTTCTCCCTGAGAATAATGTAAAAAGTGTTCTAACTTTTAGTGTCAGTGATCATGTGGACTAATATAATAATAATTGAAAATTTTACCCATCACCACAACAGTCACCTTCAACAATCAGATTTTTTCATCAAAAAACTGGCAGTATAATGCAGTTCTTTTGTGACAAATACAGCTACAAAAATCTCACTTCTTTGATAAACTTTTGATAATTGCAGATTGGTAAAATCCTGTGAAAATCCCAGATAAAAAGTTGCAATCTTTCAGTTAAAATAATGCGATCCCATTAAAATTTCTGATAATCAGTCATCTTTAGGAGAAAATTATAAAAGAAGTGCCAACCAAGAGAAAAAGAGTAGCTTCCAGTTCTCTCAATGCTTTTCTTTTACTGTTTTGTTAATTGTTATTAAGGCATTTTCTCATTACCTACCAGTGATAACTCCTTTATTCCTTCTTTCTCTGTCGTGTATATGCATATTTATATTTATATTCTTAAATGAAACCACCACACACAACAATATTCATTTTGTGACTAGGATTAATTAAAACTAGCCCTTTTGTATTCTATGTACCTATACTCTCTTTGTAAATATAGCCCTTTTGTTGTTGTCATCTGGGTAAGGGCACTTAAGGAGTGTTGTTGTAAAGCACTCACATTTGGTAATGCAGTGAAATCCTGAAAGGGAATTAGATCCAGTTTTCTATTTGAGAGAAAAAAAAATTATTTGATTTTTGGGTGTTCTTCTAAGTCAAGATCTGCTGCTGTTGGGTTTATTTGTAGTCCAAGAAAATTACATGGTGATGAGGTTTTCCAGATCAGGGATTAGAAAACTTCTCTCTTGAGTCCTCTGCTGAAAAAAGGTAAGAACTTGATAAGTTTTTGAGATATTGAGACATTTTGTATTCTTGATTTGGATTTATTTATTTGCAGAGTGCAATTAATTATAGGTATTTTTTCTGCGGCTTAATTATGCGACTTAATGATATGAGAGATGAAACAGGGTTTTTACAAATGGATCTTATACATATCTCGATGTTGATCTACTCATTTAGGGGATTGAAATGCTCATAATTATGTCTGTTTTGTTCTTTTCACTGTTCTTTCTTCAAAATTCTTACCCATTTGTGTTTTTTTGCCCAACATTATTATGTTGGCTTCATAGTAAGTATCTCGTATAGAGTTTTGATTTTCCTTTTAATAAATTGCTGATTTACAGGTGTTAAAAAAAGTTGCATTTATGAGTACCACAAACTCAAATGAATTTTGTCTCAGAACTGCTATATTGGTTTAATTAAAAGCAGTTCAGAAGAGATGGAGGGTTGTTGCATTTTCCCTTATTATAGCATGATTAGCATCAATTTCATTGCCTGATTGTGTACTTTGCAAAATAGAAGTGTTAACTCAGGTGTTCCTTGTACAAATTCTGCAGGTTGTTTGACATCCTAAAATATGGCTTCTGATCTAAATGCGGAACTCTCGAAGAATACTGTCATTTTTGGTCTCAAGGTCTGGGAAGTTATTGGGATTATTGTCGGGTTATTGATTGTGTTCATCCTCTTTGTATTGACACTTTATCTTACGTCACAAAAGAAATCTAGAAGAAGTCCAGAAAAACTTCAACTTAACCAAATACCAACTGTTTCGAAGGAAATTAAAGAAGTAAGAGTGGAACAAGTATCGACTAATGAAATTGTTCCACGTGACGGGATTCTTCTCGCCATTCATGATAAATCCAGCAATAAAGAATCAGACAAGGTTTTGGTCCATCTAGGAATGCCAAAAAGAAATAATGGAGATAACAGCAGTCAATCGGGTTCATTTAATAATGTCGATAAAGATTACTGTGGATCACAATCAGCCGAGGAAGGGAGTTCAGGAACATTTGGTGCGTATAGATCTTATTCTTCGCATAAGATAACTGCTCCTTCTCCATTATTGGGTCTGCCGGAAGCAGCTCACTTGGGTTGGGGTCACTGGTTTACACTTAGAGATCTGGAACTTTCTACGAACAGATTTTCTAAGGAGAATGTTATTGGGGAAGGTGGATATGGCGTTGTTTATCAAGGACAGTTAACTAATGGTACTCCAGTGGCTGTAAAAAAACTCCTCAACAACCTGTGAGTTCCATATGTTTTCTTCTGATATTTAACAGAGATACTTAGTGGATGGTTTCCTTGTAAGTTCTCTGAGGCCAATATTTTAAATTCTTTTTTTTTTTCCATCAGGGGTCAAGCAGAGAAAGAATTTCGAGTGGAGGTTGAAGCTATTGGCCATGTGCGCCACAAAAATTTGGTTCGGCTTCTTGGGTATTGTATTGAAGGAACTCATAGGTACTGTGTTATTTTGGCTTTCAAATCCATCAACTTAGCTGCATATTTTACAAAAGCCAACTCCCTGAAAGATTTGTTCACTGTGAACTCATTTGTGAACGGACATAGTTTTCCATCTCAAATGGACTCAGTCCACTCATCATGTGTTCCCTAATTAGCATGAGATGCAACTCCAATTATAAGCTTGTGATCTAAAAACGAAAGCCACCAAGGCTCTAAAATATTTGGGACTAGTAACCTTTCTGCTTAAAATTTCTTACAACTTATTTGTATCATTTCAGGATGCTTGTGTATGAATTTGTCAACAATGGCAACTTAGAACAGTGGCTTCATGGGGCTATGCGCCAGCATGGAAGCCTTACTTGGGAGGCCAGGATGAAGGTTCTCCTTGGCACAGCTAAGGCGTAAGTTGGTTTATCCAAGTTATTATCCTTAAATTTTCTTTTCCAACGTTATAGATCTCATTGAATGTGATGCACTTTCTGCAGTCTTGCCTACTTGCATGAAGCCATTGAACCGAAAGTGGTTCACCGAGACATAAAGTCAAGCAATATATTGATTGATGATGACTTCAATGCCAAGGTTTCTGATTTTGGTCTGGCTAAACTACTTGGTGCTGGGACAAGTCATATCACAACTCGAGTCATGGGTACCTTTGGGTGGGTTTTTTGCTTTCCCTTTTTTTTCTTTCGAAGTTCTAGATGGCCACTTGATCTTGTTTTATCTTACTTGAGTACTGAAGGGTTGGGTAAAATGTATTTATGTCGGACGATGTACAATTCATTTTTATTTCAAACAATATACAGATATGTGGCTCCTGAATATGCAAATTCTGGCCTTTTGAATGAAAAGAGTGATGTCTATAGCTTTGGAGTTTTGCTGTTAGAAGCAATTACTGGAAGAGATCCGGTTGACTATGGCCGTCCTGCTCAAGAGGTATTCAGTCCTCTCTCCCCCAGCCTCTGCTAGAAAACATGCTAATAAATTAAAATTATACTGCTGTTGTATTTTATCTTTCTTTTAGGAATTACATACAGGCAACATTTATTATATTAAATTTAAGATTTCATAGAATTATTTACATAAATTCTTTGTACACAAACATATACAACTTATACTGGAAGTAGTTGAAATTATTTGAGAACGGTCAAAATAAATAAGTTAACATTAACTAAATACTCAAGAATTAAGCCACCGGAAATTATCCCTTAGATGATAAACATAAATATTACACTATTGAATGAAGTTTATGCTGGAGAAAGTAGTAGGAGCTAACTTATTCATAGTGTGCAACTTTATTAAATCCATCTATACTGGAGCAGTAATCTCTTTACAGCAGATACTTGAGGCTCCTTTCAGCTACTTGATGAAGTCATGACATGATTTGTAGTTGAAAAAATTACTGAAAGAAGCCTTGAAGTCTATTTTTTGTGTTGTTTTTGCTTTTGCTCTATGTAACATTTTGCCAACCCTATTTGTTCCTGTTGAATTTTAACCAAATCCTTTCCCTTTGAAAGCTGTCTGGTTTGCGTACTTCAGATCATCACCTCTGCTTTTTTGAGGCATTCCCATCTTCTGTTCCCATTGAATGAAAAATGTATGCTAATTGCAGGTAAATCTGGTTGATTGGCTGAAAATGATGGTTGGAAGCAGGCGTTCTGAGGAAGTGATAGATCCATACATGGATGCAAGGCCATCAACGAGAGCCCTCAAAAGAGCCCTTTTGACTGTTTTGAGATGTGTTGATCCAGATTCCAACAAGAGGCCTAGGATGAGCCAAGTTGTCCAAATGCTTGAATCAGAAGAATATCCGATACCAAGAGAGGTCGGTCAGTTTCTAATCTTGTCCTATTGCATAATATAGTTTACATGAATTTATCTCTTACACTACTTCTAGTCTTTAATGAATCGGCATTTTTTGTACAATCACCCGTGTTGCTAAAGAGAGTTGTAAAAGTTGACGATGTTATGGCTACGTATATGTGATTTTTATTTTAGAGATGACAAATGTTCAAGAGGAGTAAGAGTTAGGAAGGACAGTGATACTTTACTCAGTGGGGATTAAAAGTTTAGGATGGTAAATTTGAGGAGAAAAATAGCTTATAAATTCCAAACTCACTACAAAATCTGGCTGTCTTCCGCTTGTTCTTGAAACCTGCACTGCAAGGCTGGCACAGTGATGTTTAGCAACATTCTACATGGAAACACGTGGCATTAAATGATATATCCAATTAAATGTAGGGATGTGGGACCCATTTAATTGGACTTATCATATAATGTCATGTAGATCGGAGCAAAATACTAAATAGCCTTAGTCCAATGTAGATCATGTTTACTTTTTTCTTTTACTCAGATCATTGTTTCACCCCCTAGCTTTTTAGAGTGAAACGTTTCTCTTAACAACAAACAGTACTTGAATAAATTTGATTATTTTTGTACTTGTATATTCTAGGATCGAAGGCACAGAAGAACTCGAACCGGTAGTGCAGAGATGGATTCGCAGCAGAACTACGACATTGATAAAAGCGACAACCAAGATCCAAGGTCAGATACAAAAGACATCTTTTCTTGAGGATCTTGAATCATTTGGCAAAAATTTCAATTTGTTGAGTGCTATTTGCCCAAGAAGGTGCTAATCGAAAAGCTCATGTTTGAAGAGAGCAGGGTAGACATGGGAGGGAAGAGGGGATTTGTCTTTTCAAATTTATTAATTTTTGGTTTTTATTTCACTTTTATATCGTTATTTTTATATATGTTTTTAAAAAATCTTCTTCTTGTATGAAAAGTAGATAGAAAAATGATTGCTTTGTAATGGATCTGGTGCCTTTGCGAGAAACCTGAAAATATTGGTGGGACTTTGTACAGATATCGTTGCTTTCTTGAGCTTAGTCAATGTTTGATTAAATCCATTATTCACTTATTAACATCAAGAAGAAATATGAGCAGAACTGGAAACTATTTAAGGCTGTGTTTGGAAGCATGGAAATCAGGTCTAAATATTTGAATTGATTCTTAACAAATTATGATCCAATTTCTAAGGCCACAATCCTTGATGCCAAACACGGTACCTTAGAGGAGAAAATCAGAAAAAAAATCGAGAAATCTGAAAATTGAGTGGGGGTGGCGGCCCCCACTGGTCCTCAAGTAGGTCCATCCCTAATTGCACCCAACATATCGTTTAGCTTGAAATTCCCCCAAAAAATTTTACGCTATTACAGTCGAAAAACCACTGTCCTCGTGGCCAAAAACGAGGATCGAAACATCAAACCTAATGGTAACGAGACAGGGAACTCCACCTCTCTCAAGGAAATCAAACTATTATCCAGTAGTTCATTTTACACATAACAGTCTAAAGACATGGTATCATGGCCAAAATCTATGTACTAGTTGCACACTTAAAATTAAAACCAAGAATAGTAAAAAAGAATTGGTTTCTAATCACAAATTTGCTTTCCCCCTAATTGAAGAGGAGCAGTATCTGCAGCATTCAATTGTTGCAGCTTCTGCTTAACACGGGAGTCAGATACCTTCCCATGTTGTTTCTCGTATTCGTCCTTCAATTCCTCCAAATGCTTGGACACCTATCATCAGCCAAAAACGTACATAAAAAACCAGTGAGAATTTTTTAATAACCCCATAACATATGACCATAAAGCACTAGAGAAAGCGAACCTTAATTGAGTAGGCCATAGGTAATAATGTATCTGGGTTCATGGCATCTTCGGGAAAGTTGCGTAACGCGTGTATGAGTTTTTCAAAAGGTAACTTTACCTATCAAAGAAAAATTGTTAAACATGCCTGAAAAAAATTCAAGCACTAAACATGAGACCGTAGAAACTCACCAAGTCATCATGGCAATATTTCAGTAGAGCCAAACCAACTTTAAAAACAATTTTGACACCCTGAAAAGAGAAAATTGACACATTAGAATGTACAAGGTGATAGAGATGTAACTACATAACGATTGACAGCTAACCTCATAAAGAAAGACATCCCAAATCCGAAGGGCCAAATGGAACGGGAACGAATATGAAAAAACGGTTATGAACCACTGGCTTGCATACATGCTAGGGTTTATCATTTCTTGAGCAAAATGCTCTCCCAACTTTGGCAAGTGATCCTTCACCGAATGATCAAACTGAAATAGGTATTGCTGTACAAGAGGCAATCCCACCTGCACCAAATGGACAGCCTTGCTCAGTGTTTTCAAACTGTGTAACAATGCATGAGATAAGAGTTTATATTTGAAAATGCAGCGATGAACAATGTTTGACAGCCACTTTGATTTTACCAAATGCACTTTGGAAATCTGATTGTATGTTATCCGATATTGAAGTTTTCTGGATTCTAGTGATGAGGTAAACTAATTACGTCTTAATTTAAAAATGGATGATATGTGACCAAAACTACACCAGATATAATCCTTCCATCGGAGCATGGACAGCTCCTATCAGTAATGCAAACAATAACCAAAATGCATCTTCCTCACTCATATAAAGGAGCAACAGACCTGCCACAAATCCCATTCCCTACAATCCAGACAAACTCAATCGGAGCATGGACAGCTCCTTTCAGCAATGCAACCAATAACCAAAATGCATCTTCCTCACTCATATATAGGAGCAACAGACCTGCCACAAATCCCATTCCCTACAATCAAGATAACTTCAATATTAATAAGTCGTAGAGAAAGTTGTAATCCTAGATGATTTGCACCAAAATAAAATACAAACCTGCACATATCCGACCTCTCGGTCAAATACAGAGTATGCTTTCAGAACATTATAAAGGGATCTTTGACCCGGTCCATGTCTCTGCTGGAAGAAAACATGTGAAGGAAATGTTCGAGAGATGTCTCTAATAATATCTAGCTCAGAAGCAGATGTCTCGTATATGACTAGTTGCTGCATTGAGAAACAGAATGATTCTTAGATCCTTAAATACATGGCAAGCATGCAATGTACAACTCAATTCAATACGCAATGGAAGAAAAAGAGAAAATGTTACAATTTCGAAAAATACTAAACAAGAACTCCTTTGAAACTTTCCTTCTTAAATTAAAGCAAACACTAACAAAGGGGGTGTTTGACACCCATTTTAGTAGAAAAATGTGTTTTTGAATAGTGATTGATGGAAGAATGTGTGGTTAAAAAGTAAGGAGAATTTTTAGGTTTGTATGTAATATTATTTTATTGATAGAATGTGTAATTGAAATGAAGAAAGAGAAAAAAAATGAGAATGAGAATAAAAAAAAATGAGTGTCAAACAGGGGCTTAATTTAAATCAAAGCTCGAATTTTTTTATTGGCTAAGTCAATTTTGATGACTTGTGACTTGATTTTACGATAAACATTTTATTTGACGTCTTTTAAAATCATAACTTAAAAGTGTGACTATTTTTGAGAACATTCTAACGTGGCTATTTTGAAAAAGAACTCCAACAATAACGATTAATTAAAGGTTAAAAATAAGTGAAAACTATTTATTTTGAACGTAATTTGGGTGTGTTTGAATCACATTATTTTGAAAGAATATATTTTGAAATAGCAGATTGATGGAGAATATGTTGTTGAAAAAAAAAGGAAAAATTATTGATGTGATGGAAAATATTATTTTATTGAAAAATGTGCTGTTAAAAATGAGTAGAAGAATGCAAATGAAAATTTTAATGTAGCTCAAACAGGGGCTCATTAAAATCAAAGCAACCAACTACGAAAATTAGTAACTACGAGACCAAGAACAACAAATAATGCAGAAACAACAAAGAACTACTTCAAAGTCACTCCAAAGATACTACGAGAACTCACTCCCCAAGACGAATTTCCAAAATAAATTCACGAAGCGTGCCGACACACGCAGTGAACTCTATCTGTCGGGAGAACTTAGTCAAACACATAATTCGTGTTCCAACAAAAGCTCTAACGTCAAAACACCAGCCAAAACTCCAGATACTGCACTTGGAAGAAATCCCACAAAACAGCATAAATTTGAGCTCATCACCCGAGTAACCAAAACACGATGATCTGTACTCCCATTTCTCTCTATACTCACGAAACATCATATAAAGGGGGGAAAAAATCAAAGCCCAATCCAAAAAAAAAGAGATGAACAAGGTTAATTTGTTGAGGTAAAAATATGTATTGACTTGTAAAACTGCAAAAAATGATCATGTTTATTCAAAAAAAATAAAAATGGCTGAGCGTCGGAAACGAAATTCAAGGGTTAATTTGTTTAGTATCAGAACGGCTCTGATACCATGTCAAATATACTCAATAAAAGACTTGATGCCCCTCTTTGTGAGAGATTCTCTCATTAAATAGGACTAAAATAATAACTAAATATGGAAGCGATCAATTACAATATTAATTAATGGTAAAAAACATTTTATCTATATCTAATACAATTATAACAATATATTAGTAATANATAATCGTAATCTTTGACGATCTCCAAAATCTTATTCAATCTTCGACGATCTCCGTAATCTTATTCAATCTCATTGACAAATAGCTTGGTCATCTGCATTACAAAATGAATACAAGTAACAATTTGATTTTTCCCATGTTATCTGAGCTGTCGAAACACTTACCGAGGACAATATTTCACCAGTGTCAGAAGGCAAGTAAATTACACCCATATTGATTAAATAAAATGAGGGAAAATCAAGAATATAAGATCTATGGAGAAATTTTTATTGCTCCATGTTATTGCCAAGAATCAGAGAACACTCAGTTAATAAAAAGGCATGTTCAGAATCCAAATTTGTTTCTGAACAATTTATTGGCAAACTACCGGGTAGAGACAAGCAACATAAGGCTTTTGCATTTGTGATATTGTAAAACACAGATGAAGTCTAAATCAACTTGTGTAATCGTTTGGAGGATTCTTCATTCGCATAATTATGTCCAATTCAAGATAATTTTACTGCTGTGAAGAACCAAAATAATCAAGAACATATCGGTGCATACATGCTAGGGTTTTTGACATACAGAATAAAAATATATTACCTCATAAACTCCAGGATTCATAAGCAAGAGGTCCCGACTTCCAGAGATTAACTGCCAAACTAGACCCCTTAGACAATCGGGAATTCCTTTCCTTATTCTCCTTTTAACAACATGAGGTTTCCTCCGAAGATAGTGCTTCCAATCACTTCCTCCAACCCCAATCATTTTCCTCCATTTTCTAATTCTTCTTTCCTCCCTATATTGCAAATTGATGTGATAGGATTACAAGGAGCAAAAATCATCCATCTTTAGCAAAAACAGATTATGTTGAGACAATCTCAAACATTTGTACTGTCAAGAAAATGCAGCGAATAAGGAGCTTGTGATAAAGCAAATGTAACAGAATATTTTCTGGAATATAATGTACTCATTTTTACATATTTTATAATGTACATTTCTTACACTTCTTTGCTCTTTCATTCTTTCTTTTTCTTTTCAGAGCTTACACTAATAAACATACAGATCCGTAGTCTAACCAACCACATTTGTCAGAACTCAGATGTAATACCACATAACTAAACGGCTGAAAATAGGTCTATAAGACTATTTACTTTTCTTAAAAATTT